CCTCTCTGGCAATCTGTTATCATGGCATCGTTTGGAGACAAACGTGCTCCTCTTCATTGGGCACGGGCAGGTGGTCAGCACTGAGCAGGGCTGAGTGTGCTTACTGGGCTGGAGCTTAGAGGAATTGCTAAATTGTTGTGGGTTCTGGCAGGGGATCATGAACTTACATTGAAGGTGTTGACCATGTTTGGACAGGCTGGAGAGGTGGGCCCAGGTGAACCTCATGAGGTTCAACAACAGCAAATGCAAGGTTCTGCACCTGGGCCGGAACAATCCTCACCACCAATACAAACTGGGGGGTGAGGGATTGGAAAGCAGCCCTGAGGAAAGGGACTTGGGGGTGCTGGTGGAGGAGAAGCTGGACATGAGCAGGCAGTGGGCACTTGCAGCCCAGAAGGACAATCCCATCCTGGGCTGCATCAAAAGCTGCGTTGCCAGCAGGTCCAGAGAGGGGATTCTGCCACTTTGCTCTGCTCTGGTGAGACCTCACCTGGAGTATTGTGTGCAGGTCTGGAGCCCTCAATATAAGAAGGACATGGACCTGATGGAGAGGGTCCAGAGGAGGGCCACAAGGATGATCAGGGGGATGGAGCACCTCTGCTCCGAGGACAGGCTGAGGGAGCTGGGGTTGTTCAGCCTGGAGAAGAGGAGGCTCCGGGGAGACCTAATAGCAGCCTTCCAGTACCTGGTCCCTTCCCTGGAGATATTCAAGGTGAGGCTCGATGAGGCCCTGGGCAACCTGGTCTAGTTGGGGTGTCCCTGCTGACTGTGGGGGGGTCGGACTAGATGGCCTTTGGAGGTCCCTTCCGGCCTGGGCAATTCTATGAGTCTATGATTCTATGATTGTATGATTCTATGTTGGAGGTGATGTTGGGTTTCGTTACACCAGCTCTGGCTTCTCCCAGAACCCAGGCCGGCGTGGGAGCAGGGCTTCCCACGAGGATGGAGATCATGTATGTGTGCTGCTGTAGTTGGTTTAACACCATGAGAACACGTTTTTCTGCTCAAGACAAATGCTTGAACAAGGCATTTATGAAAATGTTCTTGCGTCTGATGCGAACAAATAAAATACACCATTCTAGCATTTTTAAGACTGTTTGGTGCAGTAAGGGTGACCGTGTAACGCGCTGAAGTGCCGGTAGGCTGACTGCGGGGGGGTCGGACTAGATGGCCTTTGGAGGTCCCTTCCGGCCTGGGCAATTCTATGAGTCTATGATTCTATGTTGGGGGTGATGTTGGGTTTCATTCCACCAGCTCTGGCTTCTCCAAGAACCCAGGCTGGCGTGGGAGCAGGGCTTCCCATGAGGATGGAGATCACGGATTTGTGCTGCTGTGGTTGGTTTAACACCATGAGAACACGTTTTTCTGCTCAAGACAAATGCTTGAACAAGACATTTATGAAAATGTTCTTGCGTCTGATGCGAACAAATAAAATACACCATTCTAGCATTTTTAAGACTGTTTGGTGCAGTAAGGGTGACCGTGTAACGCGCTGAAGTGCCGGTAGGAAGGGTGAGAGCAGGGGCTGGGAGAGGAGGTGGTTCTTGTTCAGACCCTGCCGCGTGTCGTGCTTGAGGCTGTTTCGTTCTCCAGGGACGTTAGTGCTGCTGGGATACCACCAAAACAAACACAAATGTTTCTTAATATCCTTTTAATTTATGCTAGGGACGAATGGCTCTGTCCTGTATATGTCCCGTCCCTGGAGGTGTCCAAGGCCAGGTTGGAGGGGACTTTGAGCAACCTGGTGTGGTGGGAGGTGTCCCTGCCCAGGGCAGGGGGTGGCACTGGTCCCTTCCAACCCAAACCATTCTATGAACTTTGTAGCAGCTTTGTTGTGAGGTTTCCATAGCACAACATCTACCTTTGGGGGGTTGTTTTGCCAAAGCTGGGGACACACTACAGCAGCCTGTGTTTCCCCACTAGCCCTTCCCCAGTGTTGCTGGCCCTGGACCAGTGCCATTGTGGGTGCAGCTGGGGTTTGCTGGGACGTTGCTTTAGCAGAGAGAGCACTGGGCATCACCTACCGAACCTCTCTGCAGTTCCCCTGTTCCTCTGATGTCTCATTGAAATAACGATTTGTTGCTGTTGGGCTTTTGAGGCTCAGTACAGCTGGGGGTTACAGCACTTTCCATGAGTTCGTGGAAGAATTGGGTTTTATGAACTCGAGGAACCGGAGCTGGCAGAGCCACGCTGGAGGGGACAGTGAGGAAAGGCTTTGGTGCTGGTGCTGTCGTTTGTGGAAGGTGGAGTCCTGTTTTCCCTCTGTGTTCGTGGTTGATGTGATAAACGTCACCGCAGAAGGTGGCAAGACTGAGGCATAACTGAAAATAACTTTGAACTGAGATATAGTAATGAGAAGGATACCTTATTTTTAAACTGTGATTCCGAGTGACTGGCTCTTGAGGGTTTGTAAATGACATAAATATGTCTTAGATAATTTAACCATATGTTACTAATCCTTTGCAAAGTTGTGTTGTCACAGAATAGTAGAAGAATTCAGAGTGGAGGGGCCTCATGGAGTTTATATATGGTGACTTCCTTACACCTGATATCCTTGGATGGGGCCTTTTGAATCTTGTCTTAAAATAGAAGTGAAGTGTAATCACAACTAAGTCTCGACTTAGTTCTGCTGGAAATAGTGGCAGGAGTGGCTGCCCCATCCCTGGAGGGGTCCAAGGCCAGATTGAAGGGGGCTTGGAGCAACCTGGTGTGGTGGGAGGTGTCCCTGCCCAGGGCAGGGGGTGGCACTGGATGAGTTTAAGGTCCCTTCCAACCCAAACCAGTCTGTGGGTGTCAGGAGTCGGGGTTAAGGCCAGTGACTCGGTGTAAGTGCCTGCAGCGCTGGTCACTGCCAGGGCTCTGCGTCAGCATCTAACCCAGTTTCTGCTTTTTTTTTTTTTTATGTTATAAAAATGGTGAGGCCTCCCCTTGAGTACTGTGTCCAGTTTCGGGCCCCCTACCATAAAAAAGACATTGAGGTGCTGGAGCGGGTCCAGAGAAGGGCGACAAAGCTGGTGAGGGGTCTGGAGAACAAGTCTGATGAGGAGAGGCTGAGGGAACTGGGGGTGTTCAGCCTGGAGAAGAGGAGGCTGAGGGGAGACCTTCTTGCTCTCTCCAACTCCCTGAAAGGAGGGTGTAGAGAGGTGGGGGTCGGTCTCTTTTCTCAAGTCCCAGGCGACAGGACAAGAGGAAATGGCCTCAAGTTGCACCAGGGGAGGTTCAGGCTGGATATTAGGAAAAATTTTTTCACCGAAAGGGTTCTCAGCCCTTGGAATGGGCTGCCCAGGGAGGGGGTTGAGGCCCCATCCCTGGAGATGTTCAAAAGATGGGTTGATGTGGTGCTGGGAGGTCTGGTTTAGTGATGATGCTCCTTGTTTGTTGTGTGGGTGTCTATTTTTGTCAGTGAGGTTGATGGTTGGACAAGATGATCTTTAAGGTCCCTTCCAACCTAGAAGATTCTGTGATTCTGTGATCACTCCCCAGGAGTTACTGGGTTCCTTCCCTGGGCCTGGAGGAGGCTGTGTCCACATCCCCTGCTGTCTGCAGGGGTGACACAACTGAGCGCGGCGGATTACAAAGAGCCCATGAAGGGCTGCAGTGAAGGGCTGTGTGGGTCGCTCAGAAACACAAACTCTGGCCCTGCTCTGGCAGACGGGGGGGTGGGACCTGCTGGGTGGTGGGGGGTGTGTACACACTGAGCAGGAGGTGTGTGGTGCTGCCGTGTGCCATCCTCCCCGTTGTGCCTGTTTGGTACAGGGTGTTACCTGAGGAGGGCACTTGTTGGGCTGAATCCCAGCACGTGTCTGAACTTCGGTGCTTTGGCCTCAAGTCCATAGTTGAGGGTTTGGGTTTTTTTGGTTTTTTTTCTTTTTGCTTCCAGGGATGCCCCATCCCTGGAGAGGTTCAAGGCCAGGTTGGAGGGGGCTTGGAGCAACCTGCTCTGGTGGGAGGTGTCCCTGCCCAGGGCAGGGATGGGCTTTAAGGTCCCTTCCAACCCAAACCATTCCATGACCCTGTATGTGCTCAAGTAGCTGCTTCTGTAGGGACTTGCCTGGATGAGATTTGAGAAGCAAAATCACGTGTTTTCTTGTAGTTTTAACATATCCAACTCATTTAGCCAACAGTTTTAAATTGTAGGGGTTTTTTCTGTTGTAATTGAATCAGACAGTGGCACAACTCCCAGGTGAATGTATCTCTGTGGGTCCTCCACGGCCAGTGTCCCCTCCTGGGACTGTCCCCTGGCTCCCCAGCTCTGCCCCATGTTGCTTCACGTCGCCCTTCCCTCAGTCCTTGCCAGGATGCCCAGCACGGCCATGGGGCTGCCCTGTTGCATCCCACAGCCTCTGGGGGGTGAGGAAAAGGCCATACCCCCTCTGGGGGGGTTCTTACGGTGTTTTCCACCCCAGTTTGTACTTCTGGGTTTCCACTGGGAGACGTCGTTGTGGGGATGGTAACTACGACTGGCAACCAATCCTCATGCATTGCTTGCTCTCCTTTCTTCATCCCCTGCTTCCCATTTCATACGGTGCTATTTAATTTAATTTGCCTTTTCTTTCTACTGTTGTGTTTTTCATTTTCACGTAACTTGAATCGAAATCTGCCAATTTTATAGATGTTTTAACTTGATTTTTCACCTGAAAGGAAACGACGCTGACTCGCTTACGCATTGACTCCCTCACTTCAAATCATGCAACTCACTGAAATGTTTGTCTCTGCAATACACTAAGCAAAGGCAGTTGCCTCAGACTTTGTGTGTCTTAAAAGTAATTGCTAGTTTTTCCTTTTTTGTGCCTTTATAAATCTAACACTATAAACGTTGTAGCTTCTGGGGAGTCTTAAAGGTAAGTCATCTTTTGGAGCTCAATAACTTGTTACATGCTGTAATGTGGAATGTAGCTCTTAATCTGTGTCAGAAAAATTGCTATAAACTATGATTATCATTAAAAATCAACTACAAGCATTTCCTCATGGATTTCTTTTTCTTACCCATCTATAAATAGGTGCGTTCCATGGATGAACTGAATCATGATTTTCAAGCGCTCGCTCTGGAGGGCCGGGCGATGGGAGAGGTAAGGGAAAGGCCTATAGAAAAAAAATCTGTGTGTTTTGGGGGGGTGGAGGAAAAAGAGTAACAGTTTTTGAGGCTGCTGGAATGATTGTGAGCTTGAGAGGTCTCCATGATGACTGTGAAGCGTGTGTGTGTGTGTGTGCTTTAACAACATAAAAACCTGTCAGGCTGGAATACATCTCAGTGGGAGGAACAGCTAAGCCCCCACCTGCTGTGTCATCAAACAGCCAAACCCCGCTGGTAAAGGAACAGTTGGAAATATGTCTTGTGACAAGTGGTACAATACTTGGAGCCTGTTTATTTTGGGACCCGGTGATCTCAGAGCCCATAATATTTTGGGTTGTCTGGCATTGTCTGCTGCCCTCTGCCACCCCTGGCCACCTTTTGGCTCCTGTCGGGGAGCGCGGGGCTGGGGTTAACGTTTAATCGAGCCGTGCTTTGGACAGGTCAAAGGGCTGGGCAGGGAGCTGTCAGATAATGTCCCCTCAGCTCCAACTTTATAGAAACCCTGTGAGAATTATTTTAATCTCATAGTGCAGTGTGGGGGGGACGACAGGTTTGGAGGAGATTTGGTTTTCTTTGGAAAGAGAGAATTTACGATTTTTTTAGGATAACTTGGAAGAATAACAAGTTACTGTAGCTGGTTGTGTTAGATTCCTAAAAGCTGGATGTAAATCCTTCTTTACTTGCCCTGTTCCCTTTTGCTTTATAATCAGTCCCTTTAGAGGCTTGTGGAGGAGGAGAAATGAGAAAATCACGTTTTGCAGGATGTGAATGTGCAGCAGCTCAGCGTGGTACAGCGCTGCTTTGGAGACCCTCCTTCTTGCCTTCCCATCTCTCAAGTTCAGACTAGTTTATTTTCTCCACATTTAGTCCATCGTATTCTGTTATACTAGTTTATTTTCTCCACATTTAGTCCATCCTATTCTTTAGTTTTATGAGCCAGATCAAAAAAATAAAACCCCCAAGGAACCAGAAATGACTGTTTTGGAGAAAACAGCAAAGCAGGACTGTTCTGTGATGGGGTTCTTAAGAAGGTGCCCTCTTTCAGGTGAGAGACCGCAGGGAATTCATGGTGCTCCCAGCTTGTCTTCTCTTCTCCTCTCCTCCCTTCCTTCTGTCTCTGGAAGATCCTAGTACAGAGTTGCATTTAAATTTGACAGTACTTGATAGGAAAATCTGTTTCTCTAGGTTATATTAACCTACATTGAGACTATTGACTAAGAGTAGATCAAAATGATTTACAAAGGAGAAAACACGACATTAAAAATGTGTCTAAAGCTGCTGGAAATCAGCTGATGTGCCTCCATCTGAAGCATGCTAGGGGAATGACGGGGGTGGAAATGTTCTGTGAGGATTATTTTTTTAACACCTCACGTGGGCAAGACGTTCATTTTCAGAGGTAGAGTGTGCAGGCTCCTTGGGAGCCCGTTAAGAGCAGCTACAGCACTTGTTTAGTACTTAGCGTGGCATCAGGTCATGTTAGCTTCAGTCCCTAAAGGCATTCCTAAACGTACTGATTTTTACCAACTCTGAATTTATTTAGCCATTTCTTGAGAGAAGTGAAATTGGGTTTGTTTTTTTGGAGGATGTGAGGTTTGTCTTCCAGTGATGACTCGTCTTCCCCCTCCCCATCATCATCCTCTTGTAACTGATGCAGGAAGCTTTGGAGATGGCACCCTTTTGTCACAGGGCTTTTTTCCACGTACCAGAGTGTGCCTGTTTTTCCAGGGAGGATGACATTTCACCCTTCTCTTCCAGCTGAGACTATTTCTTGTTTCTCTTGACTTTTTCTCCTTTAGACCCACAGTTTCCTTTCTTTATCCATTAAATTTCCTCTGTATTTCTGAAGGTATTTCAGCCTCCATCCAGCTGGAGATCTGAGGACTATGTAGACTGAGATCCTGCAGGATGTGTGTGTTGGCTTCCAAGACCCTGTTCTTCAACTACAGGCTTTGATTTTGTTGATTCTGTACAGTGCACCCTGTCTGTCCTAGTAGCAAGACACTGACGGTTTCCTCCCCTTGTCCTGCTCCTGGAATGTGAAGGAAATTCATGGAGATAGAGTACTAAGAAAAAAATTAAGCCTGAAATAAATGAGGAAAAGAATGAATTTGATTTGTATTTTTTGATCTTGTGTCTTCTGAGCCTTACCTGCAGGAAGTGTCAAGAACCTCGTACTTTGAGTTGATAGTGACAAACCTGGGAGAGAAAGATGAGGAAAAGAGTGTTTATGCACTTAGCGTATCTTTTTATCTTCTTGTTTTCTTGCTTCTTAGTAAGAAAGAATCTCAGTGGCCAGTTCAGCCGAAACCACAACACAACTCATACTAATTTTAGTGATTTAAGGAGTTTGTGCCTCTGAAGACATCACCCCCTTTTTTTTTTCTTTAAAAAAAAAAAAAGGACACTGTCAAACAGTTCTTTCTCTCTTATCTGGATTTTGAGAGCAGGATAGGTAATACATGGTGATGAACAGATATCCCAATCTGGAGAAATTGAGAACAGTTTAAAAAATTCAACAGCTTTCCTCTTCCTCGTGGCTGTTGTTGTCTTCAAAGTCCCACCCTCCCCTGCCACAGCCACAACCAGCCTTGTGCCCCCTGAAACAGGGCAGTGCTTCCTCAAGCATGAGACTGAAAAGAGCTGCAGACACCCCCGAGGGCTGTGCTGCCATCCAGCGTGACCTGGACAGGCTGGAGAGCTGGGCAAGGAAGAACCTCATGAGGTTCAACAGGGAAAAGTGTAGGGTCCTGCACCTGGGGAAGAAAAATGTCAGGTACCAGTATAGGTTAGGGGTGGACCTGCTGGAGGCAACTTCTGAAGAGAAAGATCTAGGGGTCCTGGTGGACAGTAAAATGACAATGAGTAAACAGTGTGCTCTTGCAGCCAGGAAGGCCAATGGTATCTTGGGCTGCAGAGGGAAGAGTGTGGCCAGCAGGTCAAGGGAGGTCATTCTCCCCCTCTGCTCTGCACTGGGGAGGCCACAACTGGAGTACTGCGTCCAGTTCTGGGCTCCCCAGTTCAAGAGGGACAGAGAACTACTGGAAAGAGTCCAGCGAAGGGCAACAAAGATGATTCAAGGATTGGAGCATCTCCCTGATGAGGAGAGACTGAGAGAGCTGGGACTCTTTAGTCTGGAGAAGAGAAGGCTGAGGGGAGACCTTCTCAATGCCTACAAGTATCTCAAGGGAGGGTTGAAGGAGGAGGGAGCCAGACTCTTCTCAGTGGTTCCCAGTGAGAGGACGAGGGGCAATGGGCACAAGTTGGAACAGAAGAGGTTCCACTCAAATATGAGGAGAAACTTCTTCACGGTGAGGGTGACAGAGCCCTGGAACAGGCTGCCCAGGGAGGGTGTGGAGTCCCCTTCCTTGGAGATTTTCAAGACCCGCCTGGATGCTCCTGAGTAACATGCTCTGACAAGCTCTGGGCAATCCTGCTTCAGCAGGGGAGTTGGACTAGATGATCTCTATGGTCCCTTCCAACTCTAAAATTCAGTGAAACTCAGTGAAAAACCCTTTTGCTCCGCTCTCAAATGGAGCAGAGTTGGGCCATTGATAGCGGACATGGTTGATAATGTTAGAAGTTGCCTTCTAAAAAGGGCACGTGTCCCCCCCTTCATGGAGTGCTCTGTCCCTGGGGGCTGTAATGAAGGAGGTCACCTTGGAGCCTTACTCCAAGCCATGTCAGCGTCATGAAGCCTTCACTAGTTTAGGATCAACCACCTTTTCTTGGCAGATGTTGGACTGGAAAGTAATGGGAGCAGTTAGGGGTTGGTGAAGAGAGAGAGTGGCACTTCCAGAGTCCCATGTTGGGGCCAGTTGGTTTTCTCCTTTATAGCCCATGTGTCTCTGAGGTCTCCGATCCCACCACAGTGACACGGCTGAGGCGTAACACAAGCTCTGAACCTTCTCTTTCTTTTCCGGCCTTCCAGGCAGGGCAGCCAGATATCTGCTTTTCTTCACTTAAACCCTTCTTATCTGTAGCTTTGTGATGTTGAATATTGGCGTGGTGTCTCTGTGGGCTGGGGGCAGTGGGGAGGGGCTGCGAGGAGGTCTGTGTCTCTGTCCCCAGGGCATGGTGTGCATTATGAGCTGTGGGGATGTTCCTGCTCCGGCGGTGGGTTGTGCTGGGGGCTGAGCCTGTGTCTCGAGGAGAAGAGCAGCTGGGGGAGCAGCTGCTGGAACCTAATCCTGCAGGGTGGGAGGAGGATGGGAACACCAAGGCATTAGGCAATTGGGTCCTTAACTGCAAAAATGGGAAGGAATTGGACCAGAAATGTTGAAGTATGAATATCTGGGGTAACGGTGAATCTCGCCCTACTCTTGAAAAGAAATGCTGGTAAGAAATATTTTCCATTTTCACCTGATGAGAATTTAATTACTGTTCTCTGCTGGTGACCACTGCTGGCCTTAGTGCTGGGGTCTAGAGTAGGTCTGACTCTGGGCAAGCAGTGAAATTGCCACAACCCCTGGAGTTTGCTGCAGTCCCTCTTAAACAGCAAAGGCTGAAGCAAGACCTTCTCCGTGTCCTTATTTATGTCCTCTTGATGCAGTTTGTTAGCTCCTAGATAAGGCCTTGTCTCTCTCTTTTTTTCTTAAGCAGAGTGGTTGTTATATTCAACGTAGGCATTTTTGTATCTGGTTTTAAAAACAACCAGAAACCAAGCAAAAAAAACCCCACCAAAACTAAACCCTAAAACCCCCACGTGACTCTGCTTTCCCTGCTACTGATGCCTTTCCTGCCTTCTCATAAATTTATGATTCATGGGCAGCTGGGCTGGGGAGTATTGACAGTTTGGAATAATGTTTCTGTGCAGTTGTTTTTACATCTCTCGTGCTGGCAGCTTTAGCCATGGGGAGATGGAAGCGGTGTTGGTGAGGTGTGATGGTGCTGCAGCAGCCACGCTGGCACGTGGGTGAGAGAGCACCAGCAGCGGGGCAAGAGCTTGGTGAGAGCACACCAGGGTATGGTTCAGTGGCCACTGGCACCAGCTGAGAG